TTGACCACTCTCAGCATAACCAGGTCTTGCAGCTTGCAGGGCTGTTTCAGTTTGGGCATGGTGCTACTCGTGACCTGAAAATAATCCAATGATCATGATGTAGATGCGCTTTACATACGCGGATAAGTCATCCTGTCATCCTCTCTTCTCTTAACGATCGCATATATTACTAGGATGTCTGAAATGGAAGTACTCGTTTCAATTCATTGACGTTCCCTTTCAGGCGTCTGTTATTCTTAAGCGAATGACTTTGAATATCACAGTGAATAACTCACCAAGTCTATTAAAAAACATTCCCGTGTTTAATTAAGCACCACATGAAGAAGATATTTGGGAAAGTGGAGGAAAAACTGCTCTTATCCTGGAAATTGCATAGGGTATTATTTATTGAGAACATCGGCATATTGTAAATGAACTCTAGAACAAATTCTTACTGAGACCGTTTTACTCTGGGATGAATTGTCATCTTGGGCAATATGCAGGTTTAATGCGCCCGAGGTTCGTTATGGACAAGTTAGATAAAAGGAAAATTTATTCTACGCTGAATCAACCCATAATGATACGTCGTTGAACTCGTGAGGTTTTCTAGAATACAAAAGCTTCTCAATGCAGTCTCACTTGAAGCAATTTGAAGTCGCTATCATCATGTATTGTTGTGAATTTGTTGTGTTTCCAACTGACACCATCTAAATTAAGTTTACAATGAATCTGGTATTCGCATAAGAATGTTAACGTATTTTAAATATGGAGGAAGATGCTTAATGAAGCTTTGGTAAGATTTTCACTTACAGCTGTTGCTTACGGGTGCAGTGGCTCCAAATGTCTGCTACCAAAGTAATTTAATATATTGAAAGTTATATATCTGCTTGTTTAGAGGAAAATTCTGCCATTATCCAGGAACTACTGATAACAACGAAGGGATTTGTATCGATTATGAACTGCAAGTGACTTGGAAGTAAGCTACCGCGGCCTATTCTAAGTATAGCGCTGGTTCCTCGCTCGCTGCATGAATTTTACGTTGAGTCATTGAGTTCTATTCGCTGAGCTATGGAAATGGAATTTTGTTGATTCTGAAATTTTCATTGAATTTTTAAGGAAATTATGCAGAATTAGTACTAAGCGAAAAACAAGACATGTTATTCTGTTTGAAGAACTCTATCTTCTTGGATATAACGCCGTGTAGTCCGTTAAAAATCAACCGACATTATTGCTTCCTGGGTTCCTGTTTCCCTTGTTGTACGATCACTGAAAGAGAACCAGTGTCTTCTTCCGAGACTGTTTATAATATTATGCATAAAAAGCAACATTAGTTAGAACTAAGCGAGCTGCACACCCAGTGGGACACGAAAACAGCCGCAGTATGAAGCAAATCCTCCTATAAAATCATCATACAACGTCAGAATTAAAAAAAAAGATTAATAATAACAAAGACGTGTCTTAATTAATACAATTTGACCAAGTGCGCAGTGCAGCAGACTCCTTTAAAAGATGCGTTGCCTGATGATGACCCTGTGCAGTTGAAACAAGTAACATAAACACTAAATGTACATATTTTTAATAATTTTAATGACATTATAACAATTAATGAAAATCTAATGAATTAAGTGTGAATTAAAGTTGTCTGTATTGTTGCCTTACAGACGGAAAACAGACTTGAGGTTATTCCTCTGAAACGTCGGCGAATTTTCAACGGACTAAACGGTGTTATATCCCAGCAGACATAGTTCTCCTTAACTACAGCTGTGAGAACCTCTTATCGTACCTGGGGCTACTGGCTTCGAAATTTAATTGCGGGTTTTGAAACAAGGTGCAGCTTATTCTTGTATACTGTAAATTGTGTTAGCAGTGCCAACCGTATTGTTTTGTTCATAATATCCAAACGCGAAATTTCTACCCATGGAAAATATAATTTCTAGACACGATGGAGGGAAATTGTACGATTAGTTATTATTTTTATTAGATTATTTATTATTATTATTATTATTATTATTATTAATTATATACACAATTATAAATGTGACAAAGCTGACGGGACGGATAAGATGGGATTATATGCTATGTTTATTAGCGTCACTAGCAAATACGTGAGTATCGACGAATCTAATAAAATTTTAAAAAGAAATTATTGAGTTGAATTTAAATTTTACTTCATCGTGAAAGGACATTTCCTCGGGGAGTACAGCAGCACATGTAGGGCGAGGCTGCATGCCACAGGCATCTTCAGTTTCTGCCTCAGTCTGATAGGGAAACACGGATTCAAGTGTATACGTGTATGTTAAACAACACGTGCAAACAAACGAAGTTCGTGTTCACAGAGTAGCCGCAACAGCTGCATAACTGACGCTGAAATATTTAATCAGACGATTCTCTAAGAATACGTAAACTGGCTCGTATTATTCGAAAATAAATTTGAGCACTGCGCTTCGCTAATTGTTTCCTTGTTCGTCATGTTGCAAATCGCGCAACTGGAGAAACGCTATGTCCAACAGTGGAAGAATTGTGACATAGAACTCGTGTACGATATATTCCGAATGAGACATCACTGTTTTAGTCCACTATAAAGTTCTCGGAACGAAGCTCAATACTTCTGTCGCTCTCTCTCTTCCAATAACCTCCGAACCCTGCTAACATACGGTACTAGATGATTTTATAACCCACTGCAATCCTAGGGCCATATTCACACATCAAGACAATGCAGTAACAAGGGCATAAGGAAACTACTGAATTTCAAGTAAAATACTGCCAGTGATTTCAAATAAACATCGCGAAGACTGCAGGACGCGGCACACCTGATGACGAAGAACGCAGCCGCAAGAGAAGGACACATCACAAGACGCAGTATACACAAAATATAGGAAGAACGACTCCCATAGCGGAAGATTGATAAAATACGCGAGTTTGAAATACGACGTATAAGATGATAAATCTTAACAAAATTTTAATATATAAATTTTATTATAGTACATGACGAATATACATTTTAGATGTATGATGGCGAGCAGTGCAATAGTTTAACGTAAATAACACACCTGAGGATGGCACAGTGATGCCGAAGCATGTAGTGAAGTGACAAGTGAGATTGTGTGCACTAGAAGACGGTCTATACTAACACATCATACAGATGATGAAGATCACTTGTTACTTACTGTGTCTGCGGTGTTAGAGAACCTTACCCTCCTCTAAGAAAGAGGCTCATTCCTACACTGTTCATTAACCCCATACTCAGGCCGCGCATAGCTCAAGCGGTTAGTCGTTGGCTTCCCACCGCGGCGGCCCGGATTCGATCCCGGGTCTGGTAAAGTGGGATTTGTGGTGGACAACGTGGCGCTGGGGCAGGTTTCCTCCGAGTACTTCGGTTTCCCCTGCCAATCTTCATTCCTCTAAATGCTCCACAATCACCCTCATCTATCATCTGGGGCTGGTACAATAGGCCAGAAGTGGCCGCAGTACAAGGGACTTAGTCCCACCCCACAAGCAATAAAAAAAAAGCAAAACTGAAAGCGACGCTTAAATAACCAGCACGTAAGAAAATGGCACACAATTTAAAGGTCGGCACGTGTTGTACTGGGTGATCACAATTAGCTCTCGTTTACAATTTCATCTACGAAGGAGCACATGTTAACGATTACAAGGTATGCGCGGTGGACCTCAGAGTCAATGAGCTCTTGGTGAGGAGCCAAAATATATCTGTACCCTTCCGCCATATTTATCGTGTCCTTTGTAGCTGCGCGTGCGCTCACTTGCGAGCGCGTATCTGCGTATGAATACCAGGGCCACTTGAGAATGGAAACTAGACTTTACGTGAAGATGTGGCCGGTACTGACAAGGCCAGCACATGCTGAGGCACAGTTATTGTGCCCATAAATAGGAACTGCTTCTGTTTAAAGAAGTCCAAGAGACTGTTTACATATGTGATTACCAGGTGGCTCTGTTAGCATTGTCGCTGTGTAGGGAACATATCGCAACGGCTGAAATCAGCACATCGCATTTCAGAGTTAAATTCAGAGCAGCTCAAGAGACAATACGTCCCACTAGGCCAGGATATCCGGGTTTCCTGCTTTATAACGCAAGGCCCACCATGGAGCTCCTCTAAGAGAGGCATATGTGGAGCAGCCACGTTACTTTGGAACCAGATTACAGGCACTGAGTGAAGTATGCTGTCTGTTGGAATTTGACACGTGTACCTTGGTGTAAATTTCGAGATATTTAGGAATCAATTTGAAACACAGAAATGTAAGATTATTTATTTAGATAAGCGTAGGTGTCGATTATTCAGCACGTGAAATTATAGACATTAATTTTATCGAAAGTCTTTTATTGAATTTTCTGCAGTATTTGCAAAATATAAACTTGGATCTTGCCAGACAATAAATTTCTTCTTCTTTTATAAAATTAGTATTTTATGTGTCTTATTATTATATAAAGTCAAATTTAATAAATCTACTAATAATGATTTGTGGATGTTGATGAAATATATATTTTAATTCTACGCAATTAATTTCTTACAATAGGTAAAAGTTCGCGTCACACCTTTCACCTTGTGACGGCACTCCGGTTGCGGAACACTGGTCTAGATAATGTGGGACCCTCAACGTCTCACAACCCTATGGGCCTTCACGGCCTGTTACATGGATAGCTTTACTTACTTTTACAGTATTAATAAATATAAAATCAATATATTTCTAAAATTCATACATAAAACAGGATATGGGTACATCTTTCTTTACACATTAGACATGAATAGTCATTGAGTTCAAACCTTGTGCTTAGTCAAATTGTGTTTCACAATACAATACCAATGTTTCCAGAGATACAATTTGAATCCTAGCATCAAAACTAATTCTACCATTGTAATTACATACAGTATTTTTATTCAAACCCGTTCTATCCACCAATAATATCACGTCATGTTATCACACCTCAGAAAGCTAAACGCACAAGTGCCACCCTCTGAATCTCATAAGTAAACCTTCTGTCCTGTGGGTAAAACAGCGCTAAAATTTGAAATTACTGAAATTAACTAGCCACATCCTGAGTTGTAATTATAAGGATTAAACGAATGATTTGAAGTTTGTGAAATTACACGTCAAATAACAACCACATTTCTAATTACATAAAAAAGGCGGGGATATTTTTAAGTGTAAGGACCAGGGTTCTGATATGGGAGCCGTACTACTTACTGAAGTTATACAAGAGAAGTACATACTCCGTTTTGTTTTACTTCGGTCAAAATATAAATTTATAAACAGAAGTGAATCAAGTTGAGATCAGATTGTACTTGTTCCAAGTAAAATATCTTAAGATATGAGGCACACTAATAAACACATAATGTTCTGAACTTCCTTTTCAAGACAAGCCTCGTTTCTGTAAAACATGTGATAAATATCATGAAACGCAAGAAGTGTACTTGTGTTAGTCTTCAATTTCAAGATCGAAATTTCTCTCTAATATTCTGCTCTTAAGTTGCTGGATGGAAAAAATATCAATGAGCGGGCATCTTCTCAGATATCCAAGGCCTTTCAAATATGAACAGTGCTCTATGAGCAGGTCAACAGCTTCAATGGTCAAAGCCCCATGGCGAGTTTCTCGTATGTAAAAGTGCTCTAGATGTGTGAATGTACCTCTCCTTATAGCTTCCCTCATTACATCCATAGTGAAGATGTTGACCCCGTGCAAAAGAATGGTTTTCAATCTCACGTAATATAGTAGGTACTTATAAGAAATCTGACCTCTTAACTTCTTTCGAATTTTTAACGTAATTACACTTCTGAAATGTGGTAACTGGGGGTCGATCCGTGTATTTTGATTTAGTGGTGAAAATATGCATTCCCAAAGAATTAGAATTTCCAAACAAGGACACAATGTTACAATATCGTGAAGGTTTGTGTCGCGAACTTTACTCAGCCTCAGATATCTAAGTCTATGACCTATACCTCTTAGGACGTTCGTCAGATTACACGTTACATAGTGTCCATTGGAAATTTTTAAGGAGTCCAGTGCGGTCAAAACCGTCAGGGGTGACAGATCATCGGGAATCGAGTACAGTTCCAAGTAAGTCATGTTGGGGCACTTCTGTGTCACCAAATTAATATCCTCAATATAACCGATGACGTGTGATATCGTATCGAGGTTCTCCACAGCAATATGATCTAAAATATTACTTTCTGGTTCCCAGAATATGATGTCTTTAATGTGGGGCAATTCTGAGAGTAGCGACCCGTAGTGGGCCTCGCTAATACTTGTATGAGGCACACCTACAGATCTTAATTCTCTGAGTTGCATTAAATGACGAACAGATGCGTCTGTTACCCCGTACGAACCGGTAACATTTATTTTCCTCAGTTGCGGACAGTGTAATCGCAACTGTTCTATTACTTCGTCTGTGCAGTCATAGAAATACCGAAACGTGCGCAAAAGCTTTAGGTGATGAATCTTGCTGGCTAATAGTGATGAATTTTGGATTTGAGTTCCAGTATCCAGATTAAAATCAAGCAATCCAGGTACACTATCCAGAGTTTGAATTACTAGACTCTGTGCAAAACTGGAATTGATAGCATGGGTGTCATAATATTCTGTGGTATAATTTAGTACAGACCGAAGTATGGCTGCGGACACAATGTTGTGTCTGTCTTCGTCCCAGAATCTGGGCTGTAATTCACGAAGGCTGCGATCATAATTAGTGATCATGTTGACAAACTTTCTTGCTAATTTAGGAATAAACTGATTCAAAACTGGTTTTGTCACGTCTAATAGAACTTCACGAAGCTTCTCGCACTGAGACAGCACGAACTGTGTTCTATGCATGTAACTCTCACTGTCAGTCTGTGCTGCCGCATACATATCTTGAATCCATGACCAACATATTTGACGTAATATGGTGACCACTGTCTGTAAACATCTGTTTTCCAGAGACATGGGCGGTTTCAGTGGAGGCATGCTGATATCTGTCTCCTGAAACACATTTGGAATGGCTGTCAGTTACTTGTGCTTCCGTAAGTTGCAGAGCACACATATATATATCTCAATCCTTACCCTTGTAACGAATGCAGACAACCCTTGGAATCCACGAACGAAATGTCTGTTGAGTTCTAAAGAGGAGTCCTCACCCTGCTCCAGGAATTCTGAACGTTTAATTAACTCACCATGCCTTTAATGTGTGTGGGGACAGAAGGAGAAATTTACTCGTACATCTCGTCAAGGCGATGGTAATGAGAGATTTACTCATCACTTTGGCTGAATTTACGTGGGGAATATGCCCGGATTACCCACCTCATAAGATGCCGAGAGAACATCATGTGAAAATCTTGGCCTGGGCTTACGGTTCCGTGTTGAATACACTGCCATTGTGATCTAATGTCAATTGGTAAATGGAGTAGGGAAGGTGATGGATTTACCTGAACCGTAATTCACACCCAGTTTGTTTTCCAGCAAGACAATTGTGAATTCACGAGTTACTTGTAATTCCAAGCTGTGTAATAATGTTGTCACGTGTAGGGGGGTACGCGCGATGAAAATAACGGGTTCTAGTTCAGATGATTGGATTTATTGGCACGTCGGTTACAAGTTGTCTTAATCACACTTAAATGCAGGGCTATCGCTGATTTACACATTTTTCAGTTCACCGTTGCACACGTACTAGGATACTCTGTTTCCTCTAGTCGTCTCGTAGCAACGGATCTCAACACAGAAACTACCACCTCAAATCACTCTGTACTCCTCTGCCCTAATCTGTACTTATTTTTTTATTGCTAGTAGGATGGGACTAAATCCCTTGTACTGCGGCCACTTCTGACCTATTGTACCAGCCCCAGATGATAAGTGAGGGTGATTGTGGAGCAACGGTGGAATGAAGATTGGCAGGGGAAACCGAAGTACTCGGAGGAAACCTGCCGCAACGCCACTTTTTCCACCACAACTCCCACTTGACCAGACCCGGTATCGAACCTGGTCCGCCGCGGTGGGAAACCAGCGACTAACCTCTTGAGCTATGGCGCGGCCCTCCTGTCAGAAGATAGGATGGGCAGAATCTTTCTCCTCAAAGTCACTCGCAAAGATTTCTTTGTTTTGTTCTCAAGAGTGAAGTTCTAGCATTCATATGCAGCACTTAAAATACATCGTTCTGTTCCATTTTCAGAAGCAATTACGGCTACTAGGAGACAGATTGCTGGTTGCTGGTTGCAAGAATTTCGTTTGTGAGGGAGAAGAGAGCAATGATTCACTTGTATTGGATATCGTTACGTATGGGCCGTTTCTGTAACAACAGAAGGAGGCCCGTGAATATTATCATGGCCGCGAATGCAAGCAGCAGTAGTAGAACTCCCGTTTCTATTCCAAGGTCGGTATACCCCCCCCCCCTAAAGATCGTGACAACAATATAAAAGATACTGTTTTCTGTATGATCCCCTCCGAGAAAACGCACGGAAAAATAGTGTGTCTATTGCCAGGTAGCCCGTGTGGAGGCGGAGTCGAATACCTCCACCGTGACCCTGCATGTCGTAGGAGGCGACAAAAAGGGATGTCTCAAATCCGAGACATTAAAATATGGTTTCGACTCCCAAGGGACTCGGACCCGAGAGAGACTGCGCTGGTAAAGACCAGCAGCATATACAAAAGACAGACTCATCCTCCGGTCAGAGAGGGCGCCCCACAAAAACAAGACCATAACTGCCAAGGAGTAATAAATATCTGGACACGAGTCCCAGATGGGGCTCGACACCAAGACTGACTGACTGACTGACTGACTGACTGACTGACTGACTGACTGACTGACTGACCGTTAGTCGCAATGTGACTTTGACTTCGACTATTGCCAGAAAACAAAACTATAGACACACATTCTTAACAAAAGAAGACGGGTGTTTTCCGTGGGGCCCAAGCAGAGGAATTATCTTGGAGACAATTGACGCTACGAGTCATCAGTTATCAGTTGGAGATAGCCATGGGAAGTTCGTAGTTTCAGAAGGATTAGAAGTCGACCTTTGTAGACTTAACGAGTGATTTGAAGGCTTTACGTGTGCTGTAGTGCAGTGGTATCTGGAGCGTGAAAATTATAGTTATGTTAAAATTCGTTGCCTGGAAACGGATAAGGAAGTATTTGCAATGTAATAGCCGTTGTTTAGATGTGTTACCCTGCAGCTGCTAGTTAATTCAGATATAGAAGGATTTATTTATATGTTATAATTACAGTAGTCTTGGAAGTGTTACAATTATTTGTAATTACAACTAATGAATATATGATGAATTAACTCACTGATTCAAACCCGCGTCTTTAGTCACTAATGCTCGTGACAATATCGTAGCGTCTTCACTAGAAGGAAATTGAAAGAAATTTAAAATCGTGCCTTCTGTAATCTTCAGTGTTTGTAAATGGAAACAGTTTTTCAAACCACTTAAATTCCGCCCTTCCGATTATGGAAAATTTTCGCTACCAAAAGAGGAAGAAAATTGTGCAGGTTGTATTGCGGCCTTTGCAGACAGACTTTCCACAAAGGACAAAGCACATAGAGCGCGCATCAGGACAGGCGGACTCGCAAGCCAAATTCCAACAGGAGGTTTCATTTTATAATTCTAATTTATTATATTCCTTTAAGGGACACCCCACTTCTGAATCGTCTCCTCTTAGGGCTGGAACACACACAGCGACATCAGTCGTACTGAAAAATGTCGTACGATTTTACTTTCTTTTGCCGTACGACCTCCTTTTCATAGTAGAGCGACCAAATACATTTCTTTTCTCTCCGACTGTCATACGGTAGATGTCGCATGTCGTTACATATGAAAGCTAAGACTACACTTTATATTCTACTACTTGATGAGCCATGGACCGTACGAACGTCGTACGAACAATGTCGCTGTGTGTGTTCCAACCCTTACTGTCACTGTTACAGCAGTCTCATACACTATTTTGTGTACCCTCAAATGAGTGTGTCTCCAGGCCACTTCATTTCTGTTCGCCAATATTTGCCTTTGTTATACAAGTTTGTATAGCTTAATAAATATTCTGTATATTAAATATACCTGCTTACGTGATCATTTGGAAGTAAGTAAATACTGTTAGGATAACGAACCTAGGGAACTGTTAAGCCTAGACAGAGAAATTCATGACAAGAGGAGAGAGGGAGAATCTCAGATTAATAATATGATAAATTTAGAGTATAAAAGGTTGCAGTATGTAAGAGGGAATGGAAAAGCAGAAGGAATGAAATGATTTAAAACAAATGGCGGATTATTATATGACATTACAAACAAGCTGCCCTAAACACACAATAAAGAAGTAAATTTTACTATTTTGTATGTAAGTATATTTTTGGGCAATGCCCATTCGATGAAGCAACTGAATACATATACTATGTGCTTCCCGTTCTACAGGTTCAGCTATCTGGCATTTGGGCCGAATCAAATGCGGTATTTTCCCCATTAGGATATGTTGAGGGTAAAGTTATTTTTCGCGACCTTTCTTGTATAAAATATCCCACAGACAACAGTTAACCTGCTATAGGATTTTGTGTTATATAATATTGCAGATGAGATATCACATATTGGTTCAATGCAATATTACTTCTGCAGCACCGTCACACACATTCAACGTAACCATTGTTAGCAAAATTCATTTCTCCATTAAAAGCGTACAGGGACAGAGACATAAAGAATATAATATTTGTATATTTCTGAAATCTTTCTCGAAAAGTTTGCAAAAGTTTTAAAAATATGGTGAAACTATTCACCCATTGAATATTTCTTAATTACACGGTATCTGGGTCTAATATACTGTAAAAAAATAGCCCCACTTCTAGCAGAGGCCCCATAATGAACGCACAATTAATCACCTGCATGTATGTAATTTTCTATTTCATATTTTATATATATATATGTACCACTGGATGGTTTATGAGAGTTGTGGAAAGCTCTTTCCTAACCCAACCGATCTCTCAAAGGCTTGTCAGTCAAGATAAGCTCCCAGTCAGTTACCTTACCTCTAGCTGATGTCTACCGTACCCCGTTTCTCCACCGACTGACAATGAACACTAGTCCCAAAGAATAGTAATGCTGCCCGGGCTGTGGCAGTGCCCAATAAATTTCCTGCATAGTAGGGAATTTAGGGAATTTCTTTCAGACAGCAATATGGCAGCACTGGAATTACGAGTATTCACTTATGCATTTCAGAGTAATGTGTCGACGTGTATGTGGTAACTGAAAAAATGGAGTTCATGCTTTCGAGAAGAAATTTCAAACGATATTTTTATATTCAATTGCAACTTAGCCATTGATTTTGTTTTAATGCTGTTGTCAAGGAAGCGGTCATAGCATTGCAATGTTTCCGATAATTTTTCTTGATAGGATTGCGATAAATATGGCCGTATTTAGGCAAAGAACGGTGTGCATTCGAACACTTCCTCAGGGGTACGCAGTCACTGAGCCACTCAAGAAATTCACAAGATATTACGGAATCCGAACCTTCAGAAGAACCCCCACACAGGGAGTATATCTGTAGATAGGGCGCTGAGGAGTGAATGCGGTGCAGAGTGGAACGAAATACTAGCGTGTGTATTGCGCTCTCGAGATGTGTGTGTTAGAGACGCACGGAGAGCGCCAATTTGTTGTCACAGAAACATTACAGAAGCAGGGATTTCGTGTGTCAGGACTCCTTAGGGGAGGGCGGGGCGATTGCATTGTGTATTTCCTTTCTTAAATAATTTGTATGATGACTAATGCCAGTTGTTTTTCATTTAGCATTCACACACATGAAAGTAGAATTGTAGAACCTACTAGAAATCGGAGGACATATTACTTAAAATTTATTCTGAGTTTTTCATTATATGTGGCCGGAATTATTTCTTACGGAATAGAAATATGTATATAAGAATTTTGAATTTAGTTAAGGGTACTGCTGTAAAGAGACTAAACTTTTCCCTCTCCACTCGGTGTTCAGTATGCATGTCGCATTCATGGAAGTATTTCTTTGTAAAAGTGTTCAGACATTTATGAGTGAGAATTTGGAAATTTTTCCGAAATCGCCGAATTCCAACAATTTTTATTTATCAAAAAGCAGAATTATTTTCATATGCATTCAACATCAACGTTTCTTATAATTCCAAGACGATTCACCATTCCAAGTAGGAAAATAAATTCCATCTACTTCCATAGTTATGTGACGTCAGCTCTTTATTCTCTTAATACTTTTTGGTTTGTGCCGTAACGAAGCTGCTTTCAAATGATCTCGCTGCTTAACTGTAAAGAAGTTCTTAACAACAACCAAGATACATGAAAATAATTTTGCTTTACCGACTGTTGGACACCTTGGACAAGTGATCAGCTTGTCGCAAGTCCTCTACTTAAACGCATATACACACATAACACCTTAGGTGTAATTCGAACCCACGATCCGAGCGAGAGAATACAGTGCATGCCTCAGACGGCTCAGCTCCTGTGACCGGCTTAGCTTTTCACAACGGATTATCTAGCCAGCAACACAATGTGTACATACAGTAAACACTGGTTTTCTCCGTGTACTTCGGTTTCCCCTGCCAATCTTCATTCCACCAATTGCTCCACAATCACCCTCACCTATCATCTGGGGCTAGTACAATAGGCCAGAAGCGGCCTCAGTACAAGGGACTTAGTCCCACCCCACTAGCAGTAAAAAAAAATACAGTAAACACTGATCAATGTAAGCGCTGAGCAGTGTAGCTAACAGTGGATATCATTACATGATGCTGGCCCAAGGGCCCCAGTACTTGGTCAAAAATTTATTAGTATGTGTCTGTATAATAATTTTCGCCAACAGAAATAAACTGGAAATAAATTAAATATATTTTCATCCTACCGACTTTTCAAAACTTCCTAAACTTTTACCACTCAAGCAATGATATAAATCTTCTGCTTACATTTTCCTGAGGAGGACCTGGAAGAGAACACCGGAACTTACACGAATTACTCATTATATTCCTCTTGTGAAATGAGCGGAGTGACATATTTCCTGCACTACCCGGATTTCGAAAACCACGTTTATTAATCTCAGTCCTATTAGCTCACTCAAACTGTCACACTCCTCTAACATAAAATTATTATGTATGCAGATACATAAATACACGTACGTCGAGGCTTCATCTAGTGCTGAAGTGAAGAATTCGTTTACGTGCATGATCTGTATATCCACACCCCGGGCGCCTTCCTTGTGCAGTGCTTGAGTAGTTAAGCGCAGTGACGTCACCTTCGCCCGCTCGAACATAGAGATCACAAGGATAGTGGGTTCCAATTCAACTCGAGACATATATGTCTGTGTGCGTGTGTGTGTGTATAAGTATCGGCCTTGGGAACGGATCCTCTCCCGTCCAAGGAGTCTTACAGATTACGCTGTATAGGACAGAGTAATTGAAACAAGCGGAGAAGGTCCAACAAAAAGACTGTTGAGTCACAGATAAATAGATAAATAGGTAGGTATGAAGAAAGCAGTCTTCTGGGATTTGGCACCATGTATATGTGGTGTTATCCTACGTTTCGGAGGAACGTATCGCCTCCATCTTCAGGGTAGAAGGAAAAATGTAAGAAATCCGCAAGCGAAGAGACTGTGAGAACCGGTAAAAGCCTGTGTCAGCAGAAAGATGGATATAACATTTCGGTTAAATTACCTGAAGGAAGAGAGCCACTATGAAGACGTTCAGACGCGAGGATAACATTAAACAGGATTTGAAGAGACATTTAGGACGGTATGGAATGGTTTTATTTCCATCTACAGGGTGCAATGACGACTTCTCGTGAAGAGTGCAATGAACTTATTGTCTCAGTTAGGTGTGGGTAATACCAGAGTTGCGGACAGGTTAGCGGCTTCTCCAGGAAACAAGGCTCAGTTAGCAGGACAGTAGAGTAGCTCTTTGTTTCGCATTCTGCAATTCGTGTCTGAAAACGCCAAAGTAATTTATCCGCACGCTCAGAGTCAAAGCCCGCCATGTAGAAGTCGTACTGCTTATGCAGAAATGTGATGGAACTTTGAGATATCTTACTGTCATTCCCCAATTTCTGGCTTCTATTCGAACAATTTGTTGCGAAAATATCTTGTGCACATTTGCGAGATGCACAGACCAATATTTTTCTTATGTGTGTCCTGTCTCTTCCTGGAATATTTCTTTATAATTTTTATTAAATTTGTTTGATGCATCCGGCAGTGCCCGAATACGATGGACACTTGAGAAGTGAGATTACCTTTCTGGAGAATTGTGACCCGTACGTACTGGCTCAGCGCTTTCGTCTGCACAATTATTGTGCCCACAATTAGGAACCACTTCTGTTCAAAGCAGTCCAATACACTCTTTATATATAGACTGCCGTTGGCTCTGTTAGTATTGTCGCTGTGCGGAGAACATAAGAGCCCACGAGACAGTAGGTGGTACCAGGCCAGCATAACTTGTTTTCCTGCTTCAAAACGCAAGGACCACCATGGAGCCTCTCTAAGGAGATATTTGTAGCAGCCCCGCTACTTTCTGGCCAAACCACTTACATTGTGTAAAGTATGCAGTGTTAGGGGATTTGGAGTCTCGTACCTTTCTGTAAAGTTGCAGATACTTATGAGGGTAATGCTGATACCTTTTAAATCGCTGAAATGTAAGCTGAGAATTGAAGTGTGCGAACATGTCGATTGTTTAGCGTCTTATTATTTAAGACACTAATTTAATCAGATATATTTTATTGAATGTTCTGCAATATTAAAAGATACAAAATGTATAAAATCATGGATACATGCATAAACATATCCTTACAAGCTTCATACATGAGAGCGTGTTACACGTACATCACGAGTTACACCTTAGACATGAATAGATTCAAATTTCACATCTTGCGTTTAGTCAAATTCAGATAAAATAACAATCATGTGTCACATCAGATTCCATAAATTTTCCAAGTGCACGAATTACAGGCAGAGCACATGAATATTATTATTAGGGTCATTAAAGTGTTTTGTTTCAATTTTCTTGTCATGTTCCTGAACGATGACAACGTGTTGTTTTGAGGTGGATACCGAAGATCCCGGGAAAACAAATTGAGTCCCACAATCACCATAATTAATTTGGCCTCTGTGACTGCAGGCACTTCATTTATTCAAAGCTTTCCTACTCACTAATGTAAAGTAATGTCAGGATGCCACTGCTCAGCAAAGTAAAATGCACAAATGTCTCCATTTGAAGCTTACAAACCTTCTGTCGTGCGGGTAAGCATACCTAAATATTTGGCGTACTAGAAACTACTTAACTACGTCTTCAGTTGTAACTATTAGACTTAACTGAAAGACTGAAATTCTTTCAATCTCTTGTCAACAAACGCAATTGTAATTTTAAAAGAGATCTTTTTTATTCAATACGATGCAGGATTGAGAAATGGGAGACCCACAACTCACTGAATTTATATAATGAAAAGTACGTTCTGTCTGGTTCTACTTCTCTCGGAATAATAATATGTAAACAGAAATAAATTAAGAACACATAAAACACATACAAGTAAAATGTCTTTAAATATGTCACACAGTAATACGAAATATATAATATTCCTGGACTTCCACGTTAAAAGAAGTCGCGTTGCTCAAAACCATGTCCTCATTTCATAAAATGCAGAAGGGTCCTTGTGTTAGGAGATAATGTCAATATCAAAATTTTGTTCTGATAATTCACGCTTCAGTTGCAGGACATTTTCTGAATTAAGATGATCTAATTGTTCCGTATGTCCAGATATTTTCAAATTTGAACAATGACGAAGGAGTTGCTCAAGAACGTTTAAGGTCAGAACTCCCTTGTCAGTTTCGCTTATATAACACTCCTTTAAGTTTGCAAGTGTACCCAGGTTTACAGCTTCCTCCATGAATTCTTCCGTGAAGATGTCAATCCCAAGCAACTCAATTCTTTCCAGATTAAGTTAGTATCTGATAAAACTGAAATCTGTTTGATCGTTGATTGATTTTTCTATTTTTAAAGATAGCAATTTCCTGAAATGTGGTAACTCTGGGTTGGGCGGTGTATCTGCATTTAGTGGTGAAATTTTGCAGGAGTGCAGAGATAGATTTCCCTAATGACTTGCACAGCGTTATGATATCTCCATGATTTAGATCCGTGACACTTTTCAGTGTAAGGTCGGTAAGTACATGACCTATACCCGTTAGGATGGCGTTCAGATTAATTGTAGTGCAGTCACCAAATAAAATTTCCAGTTTGCGCAATTCGGTCCAATGTGTCACGTCTGAGAGATCGAAGTCTGGTGGAGGTGTGACATCTGGCAGATGTACGTCTGGTTCTAGCAGTACAAATTTTTGTGTTTTGGGGAACTTACGTATTTGGTTATCGATATCATTAACTACACCGTAGACTTGCGTTACCGTGTCGACCGTCTCCAGGGTAATATGGCTTAAAAGATCGTCAAGTTTATTTACGAATCTGACGTTGGAAATTTTCGGTAATCCGGAGAGTAGCTGCCCATAGTGTAAACGATCAATTTGTGTGCCAGTAATATCTAAAAATTCTACATTACTGAGTAGCAGTAAGTGGGGAACACAGTCATTGGTTTCCCTGAAAGAATACATAACCGAAACCTCAGTCAGGTTGGAACAGTTGAGACCCAGTTGTATCACCACTTCGTCAGTGCAGTCTCCCATATAATGAAACACCTGTAACTCCTGAAGTTGATGGATGGACCTGGCCACTAGAGCCGAGCCGGTAAGGGTTACTCGACTTAACTTCAATGACTTTATTAATTCAAATCTTTGATTCATAGACAATATTCTTAACCCAGGTACACTGTCCAGATTTCGAATTACTAGAAACCATGTAAAAATAAGTAAAAAAATATAAGGCTCATACTCATATAGGAAACGTGTTAGGACGGAGCGAAACATGGCAATGCACAATTCATCGTGTCTTTCTTCTTCAAAAATGCCGAGGCTTGTAACATATTCATTTCTCTCGAAATGAAACGTGATATTGTCGGCAAAGCTAGATGCTAACTCTGGAGAAATTATTCTTTGTATCAATGGCGCCACCTCTGATAGAATCTGTTTGATCTGTTGGATTTCACTCATCACTCTCCATTTCACGTACCGGTAATGGTTTCTGCATCTCTGCATTGCATTATACAAATCCAAATTCCATCTATTACACACATTATAATAAATGTTGATATACGCCTCTACACTCATGTCACTCAGAGTCCTGGGTCGTTTCCTCTGGGGCATGTTGATATCTGTCACCTGAAAAATAGTTTGAAGACAGTTAACTGTTTTTTCCATATTTCAAGATGCTGGTATGACTGGTACAATGCTTTACATTTCAGCTTGGGTCTAACCCATCTAATATTAAGAACGGATATTCTACTCCTTATGGAGATATTAGTGTTTATATTAATAAATGTACTTGCATGTGGGTGAAAAACAAGAAACGCGATTTCATTGCTGGAATCATTTTTTAATATATCGGTACTTAAGCCAGTTCTACACAAACATAATTAAAGCCCGCAATTTAGAATCGAGAGGGGGTGGGTCTGCAGGTGTGTCTCTGATCAGTCTTAGCCCTTATTTATTTGGATGATTATAAATGACCATAAACTTTATTTCTAATTTATATTGTCGGTAATTTTAAATTCAATCTCTTATATTTCGATATAACTGGAACTGTATTGTGATCTATAATATCGTATTTCATTGCCTGGGACGTGCAATACGGTGTTTATGTTCAAATTTCTAGATTCTGGCAGGGCCAAGGAGTCCGGGGTTCTGACATTTACGAGTAGTCATTAATTTAGCTCGGGTACAGGAAACCTGACGCACCTACAAGAAGTCAGTGAAGAGGGCAGTTCAGATCTCGTTACAATTGCCTGTGAATGAGGGCGATTATGACTGAGGTGCCTCGTTCAGACTTCCCTACGGGAGATGAAACGACGTGTCTATGTACGCACAATGGGGAATTCGAATATTTCGAATTCCCAGCGTGGCGTGTGCAAGCCATTCCACGAGAAGTTTTTCACCATATTCTGAAGTGTACGGAAGTGACCCTTGCACGCTCCGAGACATAGTTTGCAGATCAATTAATATATTGTAATTGTAAGCATTAACGTACAATAAATTAACAGTGTGGTTTGGAGGAAAATAAGTGAATAAACATCAAGCTGGATCAACTCCCAGAATACCGCTTAATTCGGCATCGCTACCCTGAGTCTCATGCTAACCGACCCAGCTGGATTCCCGTACCTATACAGATCTGTGAGGACAACTTGCAGGGATCATCATACACTCTCCTAAGGTAGAAATAGGTGTAGCAGGGATAGCACCATTCCGACTGAGCTGATATAACAAATGGCGGGTAGGAAAACAGCGTTTTTAGAGAAGTGTCGTACAACGTGATGTAGGAATAGTATACGAACAATAGCGAGCCGCGTAAAGTGAAAAAGTGCAAAAAGATAATCGTCGTGAACGGGAGAGATGTGACAATGAGCGAAGGCAAACTCCATTGCACTCGAACACAGCAGGTACGTAGTAAAACGCTGTTCAGCACGAGATTCAAGAGAACAGCCGGGGAGAAGAGCAACCGGAAGTTCTGCCACGCACCGGACGCCGTCTCCCAGTAGCCGCAACACCACTCCGCACTTCAACCAGCCGCTGCACTGTAACAACCCAGGTTAGTTTTGTAACCGTACGTCTCTCGCCAAAATTATTTAATTAAGTGTATGAACAACTTATGCATCGTTTAACAAAATGAGAGACGCTCCTCCGGCGAGATACCATCCCGGGACCGTCTAGTTGTAATTCAGCTATTGTCGACCTTAGGCTTAGGATTTCACTATAGTACCTAACGTCGTCAATTTGCTCCTGGTATCACAAACCCATAAACTGACCTTGTGCGAGACCTACCAGGAGGGTCTTGGGTTCCCTGCTCGTGTGCCTTGAAGTTTACGGGCTTCACGAAAAATATGAAAGTAGGTCAGATGCCGGGCTCGACCCTTGGCTTTCTATTTTTATGTTTCTATTTTTCCGCTTTTTTTAGGCCAACTGGGCGGCTGGTAAAGTGAGGGAAGTCAGTTATGGGGAGCTGAGGAGGACAGTTGTTGAAAGATAAACGGAGAACAGAGAAGTGTTTTACAGTAGTGGTAACGAGTCGGCGGACGGAGCGGCTAGCTTGGAGAATAATGTAAATATTGGTCATTAATGAAACTTTAAATTAAAACTGCAATCCACTGTGTGTTCTGGAGCCCCCGGATTCATAAACCTCGAAGTGTGTTCCACTTCCATCTCCGAAGCACCCGTATCCTGTGAATAAGAACTCAAGCTCGAGCGACAGTCGTGGCAACTGTACGTCGGCGGGCGCTTCCAACCTAGGGCACGTAACAGTGGAGGAGACCGGGAGTCTACGAGCGGGACATCATGGAAACAGCGGAGGAGACCAGGAGTCTACGAGCGGGACATCATGGAAACAGCGGAGGAGACCGGGAGTCTACGAGTGGAACATCATGGAAACAGCGGAGGATAGGAACAAATCTGAAGACAAGCAAATGGAAGATACATACAGGCAAGGTTAGTTAGAGCCATCAATATTATAAACAAGGGATTGAAGTAATGGAAGGGATCAACAGTACAGAGAATGGGGGAGAAATGGAGGAAGGAACTAATTTACGGACCCAGAATAAACAGACGAAATGTATAGAAAAAGTGAAGGACAGTGAGATAGACTGGCAGGCCATATTAACCTATATGGAAAGTAAATTTGATGACATAATGCCGCCAGTGGAAAATAGTATAAAGGAAGACGTGCGTGAAATGCGGGCTGCATTGGCAAGGGACTCGGAATATAAAATGAACCAACAGATGGAGTTCGTGAATAACGAAGTTAAAGCCGTCTCTGGGCGCACTCACGGACAGATTCAAACTTTGACCGATACGGTGCGAGGGGATAAATCTGAAAATTTTGAGACTCAAATAAAACATCAGTTAAATTCATGTCATAACGAAGAAAATGTGAAAGAGCCGGGCACTCTTGCCACCCAAGAGCACACAACTATTGACCAAGGAATTGCTGTTAGCCAAGAAGAACGCACATTGAGCAGTTCCAACAGTACAGACTAATCAGAAATGAAGTTACCCGATACCGACGAGATGAATTATGCAGAAAGTGGACTTCACGGATGCGATGTGATTTCTCCAGTATCGAGATGGCAAGTGATTTGTGGAAACTTGGCTGAAGTTCCGAAAACGGGCATTGAATCAGGAGACGTAACAGAAGAGTATGGGAATCAGTCGTGGGTAGCACAACTTCAGCTTCAGTTCGGGGCGGAAGAAGTCAAACGGCGACAGACTCCTGACATTATCTCTCGGATCGCCAGAGCAGGACGTGGGTTCGAAACTGGAAGAAGAGGAAGAAGTCTCTCAAGGATAAAGGAACCACAGGTACTGTAAAATCAAAGGTTACTTCAATGTCATACTGAGGTGATTTAACGTCACCTGTTCACCTCCATGCGTGGACTGTCAGTAAACCAAGGACCTGGCAAATGCAGCTCTTGGACAATCACTGTAACAGATGCCGTTAGTGTTGTGTGCTCGTAAGCGGATTCTAATTTGATTGTATTGTTTTGAAAATACTGTGATATAAATATGGTCATCGCTAAGTGTCAAAGTGAGACAGTTTCAAGGTCAGTGTCAGTGCGCGTCAGATTTTCCTGCATATCCACATATTTCATTTATTTGTGGTAAGGTTAAGAAAGTTAATTGATTTCACTATTGTTAAATTTGTGTTAATTTCTGTGTTACTTATTGTCAGTAGCAAGGCGTATGGATTATGTAGCAATGAATTGTGTGATACTGGTTTCTGATAATATCGACGGCATTAAGTAATATTTATGATAAGAGGGCAAACAAGGTTCCAAAGGTTATGAGCTATCAAAGTATGGTGCATCAGAATAAGTTAATTGAATTATAAATACCTACTGTTACAACTGTTGAAAGTGTGGTAAGTTTTATGAGAAGGCTGGACCTCTTGTGTTAGGATGCTGACAGTATGAATCATACGAATTCTAATAGTGATGATCTTTCAGTTCTGAAGATGTGATTGATTAAGTTTTGAAATAAGATAGAAGTCATGTGTTTACCATGTTGTATGAATAGGTATGACGTTAGAGATGGGGATTGCAATTGGAGTAAAAGGGTATGTATTCTGATGTGTGACGCTGATCATTCTGAGCCCTTATTTATTTGGATGATTATAGATGACCATGAAATTTATTTCTAATTAATTCTCGGTAATTTTAATTTCAAAAGTCTTATGTTTCGATATTACTGGAAATGTATTGTGATCTTTAATATCGTATTTCACTGTCTGGGACGTGCAATACGGTGTTTATGTTGAAATTTTCTAGATTCTGGCAGAAACAAGAAGTCCGGAGTTATGACATTTACGATCAGTCATAAATTTAGCTCGGGTACAGGGAACCGGACGCGCCTAAAAGGACGGGTCAGAGCTTGTTACAATTGCCTGCGAATGAGAGCCAGTATGATTGGGTTGCCTCGTTCAAGCTTCCTACGGAAGATGGGATGAAAATGTATATGTCAACACCATCTTTCGAAATCCCGGCGTGGGGGTGCAAGCCATTCCACAAAAAGAGAGACTTTCACAATATTCCGAACTGAACGGACGTGACCCTTGCACGCTCCGAGACATAGCTTGCTGATAGTGTAAAGCTGTAACTTAAAGCTAAGAATACATTAATTTAACAGTGTGGTGAATTAGCAGGTGAATAAACGTCAATTGGCTCAACTCTCAGAAAAACGCTTTCTTCGGCATCGCTACCCTGAGACTCATGCGAACCGACCCAGCTAGTTTCCCATACCTATACCGATCTTCCTTAGTTTGATCTGTGAGGGCAACTTCCAGTAGCCATCATACACTGTCCTAAGGTAGAAACAGGTGTAGCAGGGATAGCACCATTCCGACTGCGCTGATACAAGCAAAGGCGGGTTGGAAAAGAGCGGTGTTAAGCTGGAATTGGGTGATGTAGAGCTGCCTTTCAAAATCAAACAAATTCCTAAAATTTGCAAGCGTGCAGCTTGTGGATATATCGAAATTAGTAATATCGAAACAAAGTTGGACAGATAAGGCCAAATTTGATGAGTAATATGAACAGGACTGTAAGAACTCACCCTGCAAAATTGATGATGACAATCATGCGAAAGAGTTTGTTCAGAAGTTGAAGAGCGACTTGACTTCACTGCTGCTCACTATTGAAGCAACTAAGGGAACCGTATTCTCCCTTGTGCACAAGGCCAGTCGGCTCTGTAAGACATCTGAACACCTTTGGGCGAATGTGAGAGAGAGTGTGGGCGAATGTGAGAGAGGGTGTGAGCGAATGTGAGAGGGGGCTTGGGTGAATGTGAGAGATTGTGAGCGATTGTGAGAGGGGGTGTGGGTGAATGTGAGAGGGGTGTATGCGAATGTGAGAGGGGGTGTTGGGGAATGTGAGAGGGAGTGTATGAGAATGTGTGAGAGGGTGTGTATGCGAATGTGAAAGGGTGAAAATGAAAGGGCGATGTGCGCGCTGAAGTACTTCATTTCTCTGTAACCCTGTACTGGAGCACAATCTGAAATAAGGATTTATGGCCTGTTTATCGATGATAGTGAAATTTTCCGGTAGCTTACGTCACAAGAAGCAGTCATAGAGGAAATTATATTCTTCGTATGTGGTTTCAAAGATCACTCATATGTTGGGGGATACATTTGTTTATCCGACCGCAAGTATACTCCAAAAACAAGTAGCTGGAATTTGCGAGCACTATCTTTGCAACGTTATTTTCATCATATATATATTAAATTTTGTGAGCAAAAACAAGCGCCCCCATGAAGAATACCGTCTTCTGGGATGTGGCTCCATGTAGATCCTGTGTGAACCGATATTTCAGAGGAACATCGGTTCACACAAGACCTACAAGGCGCCACATCCCAGAAGACGGCATTCTTCATAGTCACTGTTGTGAAAACTTCAAGACCTTCAAAGCGTCTTCATTATGTTCACTTGCAAGTGAATGTTCTATTTACCTGATTTAACTTATTTTACAGGGATTGATTTCTGAAGTTACTTTAGTAATACTTCAGTACAAGGTTTATGAGATTTGTACCTGAAGATTTTAGATAATATATTAATTTTGTTTGAAAGAACTTTGTTTTAAGAAGCGCATTCAATAATTATTCATTTAAGAGGAAATTTCCAGCACCTTCGGCAATCTGTTTACATTTCAACTTAATCCTTATTCGCTTGCCAGTAAGTTTGCTCGGAGTAGTCGACTGTTCGGCTTGAGGAGTCCTGATATCTGAGCGGAGGCCTAACATGAACGCAGAGAGGTTTATCTGAAACAGTATGTTTACTTATTTCTGAGCTGAGCAGACCTCTTGGTCGTACAAATGTTATTCTTCTTCTTATCCTTAGACACTTTAATGGAGGATGTATTAGCTCAAAGTCAGAATAAAAAGACAGATATTGTACCAAATTACAAGAGCAACAAAATTAAGAGATCAGTCTCTTTAAAGTACTTTATTAAAATAATTAAAGTAATGCAGCAATAAAATTTGAAGTACATTCATGAAACACTAATTGTTCTTGCTTCGCCACCTCTTACATTTAAATGCTTGAGAAGTATCAACTATTAATCACTATCATGCAGAAAATTTGCGCGTAAAACTTATGGTTACTGAACGTCAGATCCATCACAGAACAATTTACATTGTTGTGCTTAATAAGTAATCCTGTAGAATGGAAAAATGGATAAAAGCAGGTTAATATTCCGCTAAAAGGGGCTTATAGCTACATGCTTCATGTTATAGTCAGCTGGATTATCATACAATGTAGACGTGTGCGTGAACACCGACGTTTTGGCAAACACGTTGTCTCTATTTAAAATTTCAGTTCGACTCAAATATAGGAGGCAGCATATATCTCTCTTACGTTGGTACCCAGGTAAGGGATTACGCGAAGCCACAAGAGGCGGACAGAATCCGCGTAGTCACCGTAATGCAGACCTCGAAATTGGAACTAACATTGTACTTGAACTATCTTTGGCGTATGAATTATTTGAAATCATTTATCCATATTATGCGTTGTTACAATTAGGACTGATTGTATTTTCTAAAAAAATGTCTACACTTTTCAAATATCAAATATCACATCCGTAACTTGGAATATTCTCGCTGTAGAGCATTGCAAATAAAGCGTCAAGAAACTAGGCGTTATCACGGTGGCACGTCAGTCTTTCTTTCGAAAAAAGTTAAATTTTGAAGTATTAATATTCTCAGTTCAGAATATATCACACGAAACATACTGTAAACTTATGGTAATATATATCCACGTATAGATCAACACACTTTCAGTTATTCTTAACAAGTCTCTGTCTACTAATCTAATTGAAGATCAAAATTCATAGATCTCGTTCTTTCTATGAGATCTGAGCATTGGCTTGGAGTCACGCGACGCCAACTTCTCAGAAGTCCGATTTCCCTCAGATGCTCACAGTGCTGTAGCAGTAGCTCAACTGTACTCATGGTCAAAGCCCCATCCCCAGCTTCCTCTACCCAAAAGCGCAGAATGTTTCTGAATGCGCCTTGCCGCGTTGCGTCACGGATGAAATCGTCAGTGAGAATGTCAAGTCCTTTGCACTCAAATACCTGCAGATTGTCGTAATATCGCAAGTGGTGAAAATCCGTATGATGAGAAGAATTCCCTATTAATTTTAATATAATTAGACTCTTATAATGAGGAAGATAAGTATCAAGGGCTGAATTTTTGTTCTGTGATGCAAATGTGCAACCTTTCAGAACCAGGCGCTTCAAGGAGGAGCACGGCATAACAATGTGGGCAATATTTACATCTGTAATATCATATAGGCATAGATCGATAAGTCTGTGACCCATACCAATTAGGACGGCTCCTAGATTACACTTCTCATAGTTTCCGTTTATAATGTGCAAGTTAACCAATCCGATTAAAGTAGTAAGATTCTTGAGATCTTTGTTAAATGTATACACTTTCGCTTTTGTGAGGTTAGGACACTTCTGTCTTACAATATTAATATTATGAATAAACCCGGAAAATTGTGTTACAGTACAGAGCTCTTGTTTTCGAATATAATTGAAAACGTCATCTATCAGTGATAGCATATCAATGTTACGGATCATCGGCAACCTTGAAAGAAGCGATCCATATGATGGAAAAGAAACGTCCGTGTAAGTCAAGTTCAGATATTCTAGCTTTCTTAGTTTCATCAGGTGTCGTATGGAAGTGTCTGTAACCGCAAGCGATTCTCTAAGATTAACCGTCTTCAACTCTGTGCAGTGCAATCCCAGTTGTTCTACCACATCGTCAGTACAGTGATAAAAGTATTCAAATTCCTGCAAGTTTTTTAGGTGATGGATGTTGCTGGCTAATAAGGCGGAGTTGTTGATTTCTGTGTTAGTATGGAAAGTTAAAGCCGTTAAATCTGGTACAGTGGCCAAAGTCTGAATGATTAGTTTTTGTGCAAATCCGGATGATCTGCAGTTTATTACAAATTCCTTAGCGCCAGCAGGCAGCACAGCCCTAAGCATTTTTACACACACCGTGTTGTGCTTCTCGTCTTGATACCAAGAAGCCCGCTTCAATTCCCAGCAATTGTCATCATAATTCGTGATCACGGGTATAATCTCCTTCAGTATGAGAGCGGCTTGCTGAGCTGAAATTCCTGTCAGCAGCGATGTTAGAAGTTCGTGAACCGTGTCACAATCAGCCGTCACATTCTGCGTCTCCTTCAGATATGCCTCACTGCCAGTCAGCGCTGCTTCACGCAATGCTGTTATCCACGACTCACACGCTTTACGTAACAGCTTGACCACTCTCAGCATAACCAGGTCTTGCAGTTTGTAGGGCTGTTTCAGTTTAGCCATGGTGCTACTCGTGACCTGAAAATAATCCAATGATCATGATATAGATGCGCTTTACATACGCGGACAAGTCATCCTGTCATCCTCTCTTCTCTTAACGATCGCATATATTACTAGGTGGTCTGAAATGGAAGTACTCGTTTCAATTCATTGACGTTCCCTTTCAGGTGTCTGTTATTCTTAAGCGAATGACTTTGAATATCACAGTGATTAAATCACCAAGTCTTTTAAAAAACATTCCCGTGTTTTATTAAGCACCACATGAAGAAGATATTAGGGAAAGTGGAGGAGAAACTGCTCCTGGAAATTGCATAGGGTATTATTTATTGAGAACATCGGCATATTTGATGTAAATGAACTCTGGAAAAAATTCTTACTGAGACCGTTTTACTCTGGGATGAAGCGTCATCTTGGGCAATATGCAGGTTTAATGCGCCCGAGGTTCGTTATGGACAAGTTAGATAAAAGGAAAATTTATTCTACGCTGAATCAACCCATAATGATACGTCGTTGAACTCGTGAGGTTTTCTAGAATACAAAAGCTTCTCAATGCAGTCTCACTTGAAGCAATTTGAAGTCGCTATCATCATGTATTGTTGTGAATTTGTTGTGTTTCCAACTGACACCATCTAAATTAAGTTTACAATGAATCTGGTATTCGCATAAGAATGTTAACGTATTTTAAATATGGAGGAAGATGCTTAATGAAGCTTTGGTAAGATTTTCACTTACAGCTGTTGCTTACGGGTGCAGTGGCTCCAAATGTCTGCTACCAAAGTAATTTAATATATTGAAAGTTATATATCTGCTTGTTTAGAGGAAAATTCTGCCATTATCCAGGAACTACTGATAACAACGAAGGGATTTGTATCGATTATGAACTGCAAGTGACTTGGAAGTAAGCTACCGCGGCCTATTCTAAGTATAGCGCTGGTTCCTCGCTCGCTGCATGAATTTTACGTTGAGTCATTGAGTTCTATTCGCTGAGCTATGGAAATGGAATTTTGTTGATTCTGAAATTTCCATTGAATTTTTAAGGAAATTATGCAGAATTAGTACTAAGCGAAAAACAAGACATGTTATTCTGTTTGAAGAACTCTATCTTCTTGGATATAACGCCGTGTAGTCCGTTAAAAATCAACCGACATTATTGCTTCCTGGGTTCCTGTTTCCCTTGTTGTACGATCACTGAAAGAGAACCAGTGTCTTCTTCCGAGACTGTTTATAATATTATGCATAAAAAGCAACATTAGTTAGAACTAAGCGAGCTGCACACCCAGTGGGACACGAAAACAGCCGCAGTATGAAGCAAATCCTCCTATAAAATCATCATACAACGTCAGAATTAAAAAAAAAGATTAATAATAACAAAGACGTGTCTTAATTAATACAATTTGACCAAGTGCGCAGTGCAGCAGACTCCTTTAAAAGATGCGTTGCCTGATGATGACCCTGTGCAGTTGAAACAAGTAACATAAACACTAAATGTACATATTTTTAATAATTTTAATGACATTATAACAATTAATGAAAATCTAATGAATTAAGTGTGAATTAAAGTTGTCTGTATTGTTGCCTTACAGACGGAAAACAGACTTGAGGTTATTCCTCTGAAACGTCGGCGAATTTTCAACGGACTAAACGGTGTTATATCCCAGCAGACATAGTTCTCCTTAACTACAGCTGTGAGAACCTCTTATCGTACCTGGGGCTACTGGCTTCGAAATTTAATTGCGGGTTTTGAAACAAGGTGCAGCTTATTCTTGTATACTGTAAATTGTGTTAGCAGTGCCAACCGTATTGTTTTGTTCATAATATCCAAACGCGAAATTTCTACCCATGGAAAATATAATTTCTAGACACGATGGAGGGAAATTGTACGATTAGTTATTATTTTTATTAGATTATTTATTATTATTATTATTATTATTATTATTATTATTAATTATATACACAATTATAAATGTGACAAAGCTGACGGGACGGATAAGATGGGATTATATGCTATGTTTATTAGCGTCACTAGCAAATACGTGAGTATCGACGAATCTAATAAAATTTTAAAAAGAAATTATTGAGTTGAATTTAAATTTTACTTCATCGTGAAAGGACATTTCCTCGGGGAGTACAGCAGCACATGTAGGGCGAGGCTGCATGCCACAGGCATCTTCAGTTTCTGCCTCAGTCTGATAGGGAAACACGGATTCAAGTGTATACGTGTATGTTAAACAACTCGTGCAAACAAACGAAGTTCGTGTTCACAGAGTAGCCGCAACAGCTGCATAACTGACGCTGAAATATTTAATCAGACGATTCTCTAAGAATACGTAAACTGGCTCGTATTATTCGAAAATAAATTTGAGCACTGCGCTTCGCTAATTGTTTCCTTGTTCGTCATGTTGCAAATCGCGCAACTGGAGAAACGCTATGTCCAACAGTGGAAGAATTGTGACATAGAACTCGTGTACGATATATTCCGAATGAGACATCACTGTTTTAGTCCACTATAAAGTTCTCGGAACGAAGCTCAATACTTCTGTCGCTCTCTCTCTTCCAATAACCTCCGAACCCTGCTAACATACGGTACTAGATGATTTTATAACCCACTGCAATCCTAGGGCCATATTCACACATCAAGACAATGCAGTAACAAGGGCATAAGGAAACTACTGAATTTCAAGTAAAATACTGCCAGTGATTTCAAATAAACATCGCGAAGACTGCAGGACGCGGCACACCTGATGACGAAGAACGCAGCCGCAAGAGAAGGACACATCACAAGACGCAGTATACACAAAATATAGGAAGAACGACTCCCATAGCGGAAGATTGATAAAATACGCGAGTTTGAAATACGACGTATAAGATGATAAATCTTAACAAAATTTTAATATATAAATTTTATTATAGTACATGACGAATATACATTTTAGATGTATGATGGCGAGCAGTGCAATAGTTTAACGTAAATAACACACCTGAGGATGGCACAGTGATGCCGAAGCATGTAGTGAAGTGACAAGTGAGATTGTGTGCACTAGAAGACGGTCTATACTAACACATCATACAGATGATGAAGATCACTTGTTACTTACTGTGTCTGCGGTGTTAGAGAACCTTACCCTCCTCTAAGAAAGAGGCTCATTCCTACACTGTTCATTAACCCCATACTCAGGCCGCGCATAGCTCAAGCGGTTAGTCGTTGGCTTCCCACCGCGGCGGCCCGGATTCGATCCCGGGTCTGGTAAAGTGGGATTTGTGGTGGACAACGTGGCGCTGGGGCAGGTTTCCTCCGAGTACTTCGGTTTCCCCTGCCAATCTTCATTCCTCTAAATGCTCCACAATCACCCTCACCTATCATCTGGGGCTGGTACAATAGGCCAGAAGTGGCCGCAGTACAAGGGACTTAGTCCCACCCCACAAGCAATAAAAAAAAAGCAAAACTGAAAGCGACGCTTAAATAACCAGCACGTAAGAAAATGGCACACAATTTAAAGGTCGGCACGTGTTGTACTGGGTGATCACAATTAGCTCTCGTTTACAATTTCATCTACGAAGGAGCACATGTTAACGATTACAAGGCATGCGCGGTGGACCTCAAAGTCAATGAGCTCTTGGTGAGGAGCCAAAATATATCTGTACCCTTCCGCCATATTTATCGTGTCCTTTGTAGCTGCGCGTGCGCTCACTTGCGAGCGCGTATCTGCGTATGAATACCAGGGCCACTTGAGAATGGAAACTAGACTTTACGTGAAGATGTGGCCGGTACTGACAAGGCCAGCACATGCTGAGGCACAGTTATTGTGCCCATAAATAGGAACTGCTTCTGTTTAAAGAAGTCCAAGAGACTGTTTACATATGTGATTACCAGGTGGCTCTGTTAGCATTGTCGCTGTGTAGGGAACATATCGCA